TAAAAAACACATGAATATCAGATGCATTTGCAGCTAAAGTCTGTACAGGTGACATATTCAGCATGTACTGACATACATACCGATGGCCCTTGGGAGAAGAGGAAATGGAGAAGGAAAGGGTGGAGGAGGATGTCTCCTGAAAGCTCATACTGACACTTCTAAGCTCCCATTTCAACACTACAAACACATGCTCAGAGAGGATTCAAAGGTCTTGTAATTTCAGCATCATACCCCAAATCATTCAGTACCTTCAGCTAAAGATGCTTTTCAGGCATACAATGCCCACTTGTATACAAGCCAACATTAGCAGTTTTTGCAGTCTGATGCAAAATCAGCTTATAAGGACGGAAATAGGCTAAAGCGACATTTGTCGCCCTTTGTACCCCTGTAAGCGGATGAGTTCTAGGTGGTTCTCACAGGCTGCATTTTCAGGTCTTACAAGCCCTTGAATCTCCTTTCTAGGACACTGCTGCTAAGTACAAATCCCAGTATGAACCAGAGCACAAAGCCTCAAAACAGTGCAGCACACCGGGATTGTTGCCATTGCTGTAATGACCTCAGTAAGCTGTGCCTCTCGATGTTACACAAGTATCTAGCTTGTTACAGGATCTACAAAGGCAAGGTGTTAGGAAGTGTGATCCTAATACTGTGTGAGGGTTAGAGGAGGTAGCTCTTTGTCAGGCATTTCCAATTAGAGTCAGAATGACATTAAACAAGTCACTTGCTGTGAACCATGAAGAACAATACCATCAGGAGAAGGTGGAGGGGAAAAAAAGAGTAATAAACGCTGCTGTGTGTTGAACAGGGGACTGCACATTGACATTTAGTTACTCAAGGCACATATCCATGGCTGGCATATGCCCCTGAGTCTTTGATCTAGGACATACACATGTATATGAGGATTTAAGATGCAAATTTTTTTAACATTATTTGTAATTTAGATGTGAGGCTACCATGACGTGTTTGTATCACCTTAAGGCAGAACTTTTCCATTTTCTCCATAAATATCCATGCAAACTCTTCATTATTTTAAAACCTCTATTTCCTCTTTTAACCAGTCCTGACTGTGGTCAGAGAAGATGGCTATACACTGATGGGCACTGGCAGTGCTTTGGCAAGACAACAGAGGAGCACAGGCTGGTAACAATTCTCCAAAACCAAAACATATATTTATATATATTTATTATTTAAATTCAAATCCTTTCTGATGTTCAAAATAGACTATTTTGTCTTTTGTCTTTCACAATGTGTTATTGGGAATAATACAGCAGTGACAGTCTAAAGATATAATGAAGCGAAGTTTATAAGGAGAAATATTGTATCCACTGATATACTTTGAAGAAACAGTTACTCTTTTAGGCTCATATTTTCCCCAGAAAAAAATCAAAACCTAATTGTTTGAAAGGCTCTCCTATGAGTTTCAATTGAGTTCTTGAATGCATCAGATAGTTTGAGAGAAGCAATGGTCAGTTCTTGTGGAGCAAGCAAGGATGTTAGTCAAGGGAAGGAGTGACACAACTCAGCCTCTAATGGACAGAGACAGGTACTTACTGCCTGTGAAACTGTGAGGTATTGTTTCAGTATGGTCGTTAGGGCCACATAAACAAGGCCTTTGCAAAATTGAATATTCTCTTTGATTTAGTCCTTGGTTGCATCGTTCTAAATCACTACCTGTTCAATTTAAAAGCAACTCTTTTGCCTCTGATTCTACCGTGTGTGTTTCTTTATGCTTTGCCTTCATGACTCTTGTTTGGATGCTTGCTATATGTCCTTAGCTCTATTAAAGTTTGTCATCATTTACATCTCTTCTCCTCTCAGAGTTTTCTACAGCTAACATGGAGATTTCCGACTCTACTTCAGACTGGCTGCAGTAGTTACATTCATGTATTTTTTTAATAACACTCCCAGAAGATGATTATTTCAGTTTTTAAATCATTTAAAATACTTTTTTTTTTTTTTTTTTTTTTTGTAGAGCTAATTAGAATAAAACAGTAAAAATGGACTCATTTATCCTGTCCACTAAAAATCTGATTTATTTATTTTTATTTTTATTTTTTTTTTCCAGAGACATTTGCTGTCTTCTCTGGAGTTCTTGCAGTAATTGCCATCAATTCCTCTCTTTGATAAAACTACTTTTTCTTGTGGTAGCAGAGATATGGCTCAGTTCCTTTTACTTGCATAACTTTCTATAGCCCTTTTAGTAAATCTTTTCTTATGACACTTACATTCAGAATTTTCCCCTTTCCCAAGAAAGAAATTGCAGGATCTTGAACTGATACCTTACCACTCCCCTGTCTCTGATGTGGCTTTGCCAGTTTCTAAGCTGAGGAATTTCAAATGCAAATATTTTTGATTGGCAGAATGGCAGTGTCTGAGTGACAATCAATTAAGAAAATGCATTAAAAATGTGCTGATTCACTTGAAGCAATAGGATGCTAGAGATAAGTGAAGGATGAATCAAACTAATAAAACAAGTACTTCATTCTTGTTTCTCAAAATCAAAGAAAAATTTGTATTCTCCAGAACTTCAGGTCCAAGATGCCATATTGCTGAACAGTGGTGAATGTCACAAACAAGAAGATGGAAGTTACTTGAGCAAAGTTTCATACCAAATAGAATTAGGGGTTCCTGAAAGCGGCAATTTTACAAAGAAGTATTAGAAAGGTTAATGGTTCCTAGATCCCAGCTATATACTGCAGACTGACAATCATTATGTTATTGTTCATGTAAATCTTTTTTGAACTGCTTGAAGGGGTATATTTTTAGTGTAATGTTCTAGAATATTGTGGTAAATAGATATTAAAAAAAAACATTTATGCAATAAACTCAATACAGGTTTTGAAAAAGGTTGTAGCAGGACTATGAAAACAGATAGTTTTATTCTTTGATATTTTACCCTTGTGAGGGAACTGCCTGTACTGGAAGCGTATCATTAAACAAACAAAAGTTACTGAACGTGTATGAGGAAAAATGTAGAAAATGGAGAACATCTTCTAAAGAAAATAAGTCCTGAGGTCTTACTAAATATTGTTTAAGTGATAATTAAAGATTTATTTGTTAAAGATTCATTAAAGATTGCCAAAGTCTGCTGAGGGAGGGGCATAATGAGCATACCTTATTAAGGGCATAATGAGCTCCTTATTAGAACTACTCAAAACACATATCAGGTGTTACAAAATCCTAAAGAACATTTAAGACAAAGGCTTTAATTAACTGAGACCTGAGATGAAGTGACCATAATAAGAAATGTTGCATAGTTTTTTTGTGAAAAAGGTAGCAGTAAAAGGTAGAACAGAGAGTGTTTCCCATAGTGATAAGAATTAAAATAATTTATTCTTCTACTTTTTTTTTTTTTTAAGCACATATTTAACTTCAGATAAAACATACCAAAGCCTGAAAAAAAATGGATCCATGAAATGGATGGTAAAACCAAATGTACAATATTCAACAGACAAAATTGACAAACGTTTCACCTTTTTTTATATATATTAATGTCTTGAAAGCGAGAAGATAGGGGCAGAAGGGTCTGAGCAGAGACATCCATGCTATGAGGCCGAGCTTTGAGAAGCTGTATAGTACAGTCGGCAGCCCCCCTCTGCCATGCTAAGGTTTGTGTCACTCGTGTATACAGGTTTTGTGTCTAGATGACTGATACGAATCCAAAGCTTCCTGAGGTGCTTATTTCATTGATGAAATGTGGCTTTCAGAAAATAGAGGGATAATTATTTATATATATATATATTTATTTTATTTTATTTTATTTTATTTTTATTTTTTTTAGTATTGCCAGGTATTTTTTCCATGTTTAGGACCTTCTCTTCTGCCTGATTATACTGTACTGGTAGTGCTGCTGTTACTGTTATGATCATGAGGTACAAATAAGACAGGAAGAGGTCATATCTTTTATTACAACTGTTACCTTTTAGACCATATCTTTTATTAGGACTGCTTTCAGCCACGTGAGCTCTTCAGGTCTGAAGGGACCTCTGGACAGTGGACGCCATTCTAAAAGATGAATAATAAGTGCTTACATCACACAAAAGAAAGCATAGGTTACTTTTAAGTAAGGGAGATGCTGACAAGAGAAGTGGCAAAGTGGTCCCTTGCCACCTACACATTCCCTTGTACTCTGGCTCTACTTGAGGATGAACCAACAGACTCTCCACCAAGAAAACCCAAACATAACCCAATCTTGCTGCCACAAGCTGAATGGATGCAATTAGCTCTAAGCACTGTCTTTCAAACTTGTCTCAAGTACAGTCTATAATGGCGGTATAGAATACTGTTACAGCAGGGAAATGAATTTAGGCATTGATGTTAGTGCAGAGTGATTTTTATGTATATATTTTCTCCTTGCAATTACTGCCAACACTTTAAATAGTCAAATGAAGTCAGAGGTAGACATCTAAGCATCTAAAATGAGGTCATAGCAGACATGGCTCTGTATCTGTCTTTATCAGGGCTCTTTAATACATAGACATAACTGATGTTTCCCACATATTACCCATGCTTATTAACATGATACATACTAAGACATCAACAAATCTAGATTATAAATGACTGAGAGTGTCTAGTGTTGTGACACAGATTTTAAATGGCTTCATAGTAGTTAGCTAACAAGAAAAATAGTAATTCCAATAGAAGTAAATGATTACCAAATACAGTTACTGCTGAGAAAAATGAAGACCTGAGTGTCCTGGTTTCAGTTAGCACAGAATTAATTTTCTTCCTAGTAGCTGGTGGAATGCTGTGTTTTGGCTTAGGATGAGAAGAGTGCTGATAACACCCCGATGCTTTAATTGTTGCAGAGCAGTGCTTATACTAAGCCAAGGACATCTCAGCCTTTTGCTCTGTCCTGCCAACGGGCAGGCTGGGGGTGCAGTAAGAGCTGGGAGGGGACAGACCCAGGACAGGTGACCCAAACTAGCCAAAGGGGTATTCCATACCATCTGACGTCATGCTAAACAATATATAGGGGTGGCTAGCTGGGGGGGAAGGGGCCGGACTGCTCGGGGTTAGGCTGGGCATCGGTCAGCGAGTGGTGAGCAATTGCATTGTGCATCACTTGTTTGTACATACTATTATTACTTTCCTATTATCACCATTGTATTATTATTGTTATTATTTTTATTATTATTTTGTTATTATTATTTTCCTGTCTTATTAAACTGTCTTTATCTCAACTCACGGGCTTCACTTTCCATTTCTCTCCCCCGTCCCAGAGAGGGAGGGGGGAGGGTGAGCGAACGGCTGCGTGGTGTTTAGCTGCCGGCCGGGTTAAACCACGACACTGAGTCATTAGGAAAAAAAAAAAATCAGAGCTTTTATGTGAATTCTCTTGAATTTCTTTATCTGGAAGAAGTATTTTCCTTAAAGAAAATTGATTTTCTGTCTTGCTAATGTTTCAATTTCATTCTTACCAATCAGGTGAGTTTTTTTCCATTGGTAAAGATGACACTGCATTTTCAGTAAGACAAAATGTCATTAAATAAGCCTGAATCTCAGAGAAATGATGTGTCTACTTTCCACTACACTAAGAATCAGAGAGGAATGCCATAACATTTTGCTTTTCCTGAGAACATTTTATGAAACACCTCTCCATTATTATCCCAACTTTACACCACATATCATCATAGCTTCAACCACGTTAATGACTTAGTTAATAATTGGGCTCTGCTTTAGCTGGAAAGGGTGAAGAAGGAGTAAGATGATCTTCAGCTAACAAAATGTGAAGAGATAGCAAGAAGTTTTCTGACTGCCATTTCAGTCTACTCCAAATACTCCTTAAAATGGGTGTTGGGCCAGTCATCTTTTACTGCAATAGAACTAAAAGTTGATGCAAAGGAACTGAGCATGGTTGTTTGGCAGTGTTTTGGAGGAAGACAGATTTGCTGGTGTATTATTACTGACAATTAACTTTCATCTTGGTTTAAGTCATGTATAACCAGAGCTACTCCATTGATGTCACTGGACCTACTCCAATTTTACAGTGTAATGCTAAATCCCAGAATAGAAATCTGGCTGTATGGACAGTCATTCTGCTGCAACTAGCATTTTACATGACCATTTCCAGGAGAGCTGGGTTTCACTGTTCATTGAAATGAATGAATTTTAGTACACAAAGTACAAGACCTTGATGGTGGGAATAAATACAGAAAAAGTTAATTGCAGTGGTACATAGCTCACAGTGATACAGCATTTCATTAGTTTCATGTGTGTGTGAGTGTGTGGGGAAGCAGGGGATAGGGGTCTGTGCTGTGGATGTGTTTACATGAGAAATTTAGAGCTCCAGAAGGGTTTATTTTGGTGAAAATTTGACATGCATCTGTACTCTGAGTCCTGAAGTGTACATCTGAGCACTGATGTGGTGGATATGGTTTTTCTTCTAGTGGAGCCAGGGATGGTGGACAAAGGAAAGCCACTTCCGGGTCTGACTTGCTACATGGTGCAAACAGCTCTCTTCCTGCAAGAGGTGTGCAGCCAGGACAGACAGCTGGGCTGAACTTCACAGCTGCTTCAAACTCAAGGTGAACATATGGTCCTTGAAACACAACAAGCAGCACCAAAACAAACCTTGATCCTTCCAGCTTTGAGTGACACCAGTAGGTGAAGTAATTACCCCGTGCATAAATTCTGGTAACACATGAAAATATCTTATGCAAATAAATTTAATGAGCTCAGCTTTTTTGCTAGTCTGAAGTTGATATTTAGAGTGTTCAGAGTGTTCAGACTGCTTAGTGTCATGATTTATTCCACTGTCAATAAAAGGTGTATCTTGCCTGAATTTGTATTTGCAATATCTCCAGAAAAAGGGATTCTCCCTTTTCTTTCCACTGTTTTCTTCAATTACTTAAGGAAAGACTGTAAAAGGTGTCTTTTATCTCATAATTCACAAGAAATCTCAAGTACTGGTTCTGAGGCAGTATTTGCCTTAATAGATTTTCTACAGAGATATTAGAGGGATTCCACCAAATCCTACAGTTTAACCATTGACATCTCTGTTTTGGGCAATATTAATTCATATTCAGATTTTCTTTCTTTCTGCTACTTATATCTAACTTTGTTTTTGTTTTTTTTTAATGATATAAACTGGAATTAAATTATGTGCTTATCACTTTAAATCAAATATAGTTTGTTTTCAGCATCAGCCAGGGCCATCTCTAAGAACACATTTAAACTGCAGAGGGAATTCAGCTATTCACATCACGTTTGCTTCCACAAGCAAATCTTGCCAAGCTGGAGAACTTTGAGTTGAGCCATATGGTTTTGATAAAACATGGTGACTTGAAATTTATTTTTGCTTTGCAAAACAAAAGTGACTGCCAAAATACTGTATGTGCAAAATTCTGCATCAGGAAAAATGTCCAGTATATGTCTGTTTGTGTCACACTGCTTGGGCTCAGCATTTCTACAGCTCAATATGATCCTTTGTAAAGTGTTAGTAGTAAGAAGAGAGAAGCCTACAGAATAAAAGATCCAATAGAAAATGACTCTATTTTTTAGCATGATAACTGAATATAGGTAACCATACTGGAGGATTCGATCATGAGACTTCCTGAAGGGTTCCCAAATAACAGGTTTAAAACTTTTTCAAATGAACTGCCACTTCTTGAATGTCACAAATTATTGGTTACTTTTAATGTGCCTTAACTCAAAGAACTAGACGAGTAAATAATCCTTCAATGAAGGACAAAGAAACACAGCAAAAGATGTGACATGCCACTTGGAGCAGGCAGCTGTAATGAGTATGAAAGGGAGCTATTTCCGTGTGTGGCATCGCTCCTACTGAAAGGCGTGTGTTATAAAGGCCTATTTGGGGTGCTGCATTGTTCTGTATATTCTGGTGCTGAAATTGGATGTAAAGCTTTCGGTTTCAGTTTTTTGAATTATAAGCCTCTCTAAGAGTTCATATTTTAAATGTACTGCTCTTTAAAGTTCTGGCTGATTTGCATATACAGTTTGAAACATCTAATTATAGCAAGGGAAATAAAACTGTTTTGATTTGGTTGTTTAGCTTTAAGGCTACTTTTTCCACAGACTCCTTTCTACTGTATAATCAGAAACCATAATCATTCTTGAAAAGATCCAGCTAAAATATTGATAACCAGCTCTAATATTGTGAAGCAAGATGAAATCCTAGAATTCACACTTGTTGTGTTGGCCTCTTCCAAGGCTTGGGATGTTTTGCTTTGTTTATAGTCATTCCACTTGCACACTTAAAAAGCATGTTTTTTTTTTTTTTTTTTTTTGTTTGTTTGTTTTGTTTTTCTACATAATTAACAACAACAACAAAGTATAATGTTTTTGTTTTCTTAAGTAAATAAAGAAAATCATGTTCATGATGAAATTGATAGTAAAAATCTTATTTCTTGAATTAGTACTGGACACAATGTCTTGTGTTTTGTAGAATATTACCCCTTGTTAAGAGCTAAGCCTATGCCTCAGCTTAATTTTTTTTTTTTTTGGGGGGGGGGGGTGAGAACAGCAGGTCAGAAGAAGCTTATGCAAATCAGGTGTTCTTGTAAGTTTAGTCTATAAAACAGATAGTCCATGCTATGTAAATTAATTTAATGTAAATTAAATTTTAAAAAGCACATTTAGCAATCCTAAGGAGAAATTTGATCAATATATATTCTCCAGGAAGGGTTATAGCTTCTGCAAACTAAGCTCCCAACATTGCAGGAAATTTTTATACTCAATGCCTCTGGGTCAGTTCCCTACCTGCGAAATTAATATACTTCACCTCAGAGTAGTACAGTAAGGATTTAGTTATCCAGTGCCTGCAAGGTAGATAGGCACTATACAATGAATACTACAGAGAACATCACAAGAACTTTAATAATTATGATTGTAAACGCTATTTTAATAACGTGTAATACACCAAGCATTAGGCTATGCCCTGCCATAACACCAGAAAGATGCTTATGTGCTCGTTACTATCCTTCCTCTTGCCTTCGAAGGAAGTTCCAGGGCCACAGAGGGGAAGATAACAAAACAGAAAAGATACGTAAGATGAACTTAAGTTTGTTCAGGAGCTGCATAACTTTTCAGTGTAGTTTTATTCCAGGGGTGTGTGTGCATGTTCTGGAGTGGTGTGGATGGTTCAACATGGCAGTGGCTTTCATTCTTGTGGCACTGTGATAACAATATTTTTCTTTTGCTGAGCCATCAGTCATGTTAAGAGATTCTCATTATGTGAATGTATCTTTTTGGAAGACTTTTTCAGGCCCTTTTTGGTTGTTTTAATTCTATTTTGAAGGTTTAATTTGATAGGAGTTGAAATCAACTCTAAGTGATTAATGGCAACAAATGCCAGCAGGGAAATTTCTGAAAATAAAGGTAGAATGAATACTGTGTTCTCTTCCAATGCCCTCCCTTGCCAAGCTCATGATTACTGCCCCAGGTAAAGTACTTGACTGGCACAAGTTAATCAACATTAAGAACTAGAGATGCAAAATAATGTAGGTATTGCTCCCTGGGGAGGTACCTCTCCACGGAAAGGCACTCCTTCTGAAGGTGGTTAATGGTATCATACCCTAGGCCACCACACCACTGCTCCTGGCCCTACTAAAGATGAACCAGAGCCTTCTAGGACCTAAATGTCTCTCCCCTTGTTCATGCCTTATGCTCTGGGGGTCACATTAGTCCCCTCTTCTCAAATGTCTTTTCCCAAATGTAGGTAAGTCAGGAGCTGAGTACACAGGGCTCCCAGGCCTGCCTCTTCTGTTTGGGTCCTGGTAGTTCCCTCTCCTTTTGGAGGTTCCTTCACCTCTGCTGAAGAACATTGCTCCCGCTACTGCTTTACCCACCCCAGACGGACACTCATTTGTGTGGAGAAACAAAATGAACATTTAGCTTAAATAATTAGAGTTGTCAACTAAAAGCTGTGTCTTGTGATGGGAATGTAACAGATAATTGACTAAGGACAGTTTGCCAGCCATTACACCCCTGCTCATGAACTCTGGGGAGAGCATCACTTTCCAATTTGCTTCCAGCTACTTTTTTCTATCTACTTTCTTGTAACAACACTAGCCATCTTAATGTTGGTATTTTTTCCTTAATGAAACTAGGTTTTATGTGCAAAACTGTTCTAACACAAATTGGATTTCACCTGATAAACCAGCATATCTGTGAGAAGGAAAGGAAAACAATGTTTGGGCCAGGGATCAGGTAAAGTTTACAAGAGTGTTTAGCCATCTAAAACTTTTCCTGTTTTTTTTTTTTTTTTTTTCACTTTCAATGTTGAAAAGAGTCATTATGAACTATTTATCTGCTTCACAGCAATTTAACATAATTTTCTATTTAGTAGCTACAACTTTTAGGCTTTTGTGAATCCTATACTTTGAACAAGAGTTTCTGACTTTGACACAACATAAGAGTTAACATTTAGTTTCAATACTTACAGGGAAACTACAACAGTTATTTTTATGGTTTTCAGTCTTATCCCTAACTTTTGGTTTATCTCATTACAGTTTAACAGTTTTCATATCTATCTTTTATCTATATAGGCTGCTTCCTTTTGATGTATGTTTTCTTACTTTTGAATTCTTTGATGATACTGATATCTAATAACTCTTTTTAAACACAGGACATTAGCAGTGTCTATTGTCTTCCACTGTTAGTCAGAATGACATAGTATCATATTGTGCACACAAACCATATGAAGGCATAGAACCTTTCCTGACTGCAACTGGTGTGCTTCTTTGGACTTATACAATGCAAAATTACTCATACATACCTAGCATTTTCATCTTTAAAGCAACTTGAACTGTAACTGGAGAGCTCACCTCAAGGTAATTTTGTGTCCTTCTCTTCCCTGAATAGGTTATTTATCTTTCACAGTCTCTACAAGCTGTTACCAAAAAGGAGGCTGAACTGTGGCGTAATACCACATTGAAGCCTCCAAACCTAATTATCATTAGCTTTCTCCCAGTGCATTTGTTTTATAGTATGAGCTACGTATAGATACTACGCTACAGAGCACAGTGCAATGGGAGGTACCTTCTATGACAAATCCTAGAGGAGATTGGCTTCATGGAAAAGAAGAGGAAGAAACTTTGAACTGTTGTTTTCTATTGTTTCATATTGTTTCATAGAAACTTTGAACTGTTGTTTTCTATTGTTTCTATTGTTTCATAGAAATGAGTTGTCTTGATATAACTTATGTTGCTAGCTGAAGAACAATGTCCACAGACTACTAAAAAACCTGGAGACTTTAATGTAGCTTGTAATTCAAGCAAACAATAGCAAAGATGTTGATATGTCACCCAAAGATAAGCCTGAAAGACTCATCAGAAGTGCTCATGCACTTCTCATTTCACTCTCAGAAGTGCTCATGCACTTCTGCAGACAGATGGACTTCCTCTTTCCCCAGCTAGGTGAGCTCAGAGGAGACCCTGACTGCTCCAAGGACCTGTATGACACTCACGTTAGTAGAGTTAATTAGTTAGAAGAGAGAAGCAGCCATTACTTGGGCATTTTGCCTTGGATTATGGTCAGTGTGCCTTTCAGTAGTGTTTCTGCATGG